GGTTTAAATTTCATCAAAATCGGACGACTATAGCATATAGCTCCCATAGGAACAATCGGAAAAATAAATGAAAACAAGAAAGAAAGCAAACTTCGGCAAGCCGAAGTTCATATACCCTTGCAGCTATTGCAAGAATTTAACATTTTTGAAAACATTGAAATTATGATTTACTGCGTATATGTTTAAAAACATTGAAGCTATGATGATTAGCAGCTCAATTATTTGATAGTTATTTTATATATTTTTATTATTTCTTTGGGAGCTATATGATATAGACGTCCGATTTTGATAAAATCTAAACCATAATTTTGAAAAATTTAACCATTGCTATATGTCGAAGAACTGAACAAAAAATTAAAAAACAGAAAAGTTATAATTTTTATACCCTTGCAGAGGGTATTATAATTTCAGTCAGAAGTTTGCAACGCAGTGAAGGAGACATCTCCGACCCTATAAAGTATATATATTCTTGATCAGCATCACTAGTAGAGTCGATCTAGCCATGTCCGTCTGTCCGTCCGTCTGTCCGTCTGTCAGTCTGTCAGTCTGTCCGTCTGTCCGTCCGTTTATATGCAAACTAGTCTCTCAGTTTTAAAGCTAGCTGCATTAAACTTTCCCAAAAGTTGTCTTTCTATTGCAGGTAGTATATAAGTCGGAACGAGCCGGATCGGACGACTATAGCATACAGCTCCCATAGGAACAATCGGAAAATAAATGAAAAAAAATTATAACTTTGCTGTTTTTTAATTTTTTGTTTTGTTCTTCGACGTATTGTAATGGTTAAATATTTCCGATTTACGGTTTAAATTTCATCAAAATCGGACGACTATAGCATATAGCTCCCATCGACACTTAGTAATGGTTAAATATTTTCGATTAACGGTTTAAATTATATCAAAATCGGACGACTTTAGCATATAGCTCCCATAGGAACAATCGGAAAAATAAATGAAAAAAATTATAACTTTTCTGTTTTTTAATTTTTTGTTCAGTTCTTCGACATATAGCAATGGTTAATTTTTCAAAATTATGGTTTAGATTTTATCAAAATCGGACGTCTATATCATATAGCTCCCAAAGAAATAATAAAAATATATAAAATAACTATCAAATAATTGAGCTGCTAATCATCATAGCTTCAATGTTTTTAAACATATACGCAGTAAATCATAATTTCAATGTTTTCAAAAATGTTAAATTCTTGCAATAGCTGCAAGGGTATATGAACTTCGGCTTGCCGAAGTTTGCTTTCTTTCTTGTTTGTTATAAATGCTATATGCAGTATATATGGTATATGGATTTACCTACTTATAACCCAAAAAAATGAGAATAATAATATATAAAATTTCTTACAATTTCCAGTTTGGAAGTATTTTCAGTTTATTTAATTTTATTTTGTATTGTATATCGTTTTATCTTCAGCATTTTGCTATGATGGCCAGTTGCATTTGAATATACATATGTATTTTATACTTTTTCGATGTTATCAATATAAACTATTGAAGTATTGACAGGATTATTGTAGCAAGCCAAGGTAACCGAAAAGCCAATTTAGCAAACCGAAATTAAATAAAAGATTTCAATCAGAAAAAAAGTGTCAACTGTAGAGAGAATTTGCCAAATTATAATAGTGCCAAGAAATATCAAATAAAAAGAAACCATACTCGATGTATTTTCCATATGTTTGTGTGTAAAGTAAACCATAGTTCAAGGCTGGATTTAATGCATTTGCAGCCTGAGATGGCTTAGCACAAGGGCGAAAACCACTTGCGCCTGCCAGAACTGGAATAAAAATGCAATTTTGTATATATATATATATATATGTATAAGTGCACATAAGTGCATCCACAAACAAAGGTATATAAAATGCGCATATATAACACATAGAGGACCGCAGCCCGCATTTAATACAAATATAAATAAAACAGAACTGGGCTGCCACCAGCTTAGTGAGAGAAAAGGCGGGGAGGGTTGGTGCCAAGTGTTACATCAGTAAAAAAGTGCTTTGCCTGACCTTGACTTATAAACACTTTTATAACAATTATTTTTTTTTTTGCATTTTCTCGCCGCTGCTTATTATTCCAACTCGCAGGCATAGAACAGAAATCATTAGAAATAAGAAAAAACGTAATAATAAAGAGTCGAAACCCACTAGACTTGATGCAAATAAGCCAAGCAGCAGCAGCTGAAGCTTTTTGAGTGATGCTTATGAAGCTGAGCTAGTTGAGTGGGTCAGTTGAGCTAGGCACATGCAATCACAGTATTCACTGCCTATATGATCTAAGTGCAGAAATATAGGGGCGGAAAAAATATTAATTAATTTATTTTATTTTATTCGAAAACAAAATTGTTTGTCAATACGTAATTCTGTTCAATTTGCAATTTTTTTTTTAAATTTGAGTGCATACTGATTTTCTCAGTTTTAGTGTTTATAATCGTTAACAATGGTTGGTGAATATCAACAAAAAACTATTCTCAATTCCTAATATTTAATGCGTATTTTTGACATAAAAATATTTTGTAGAAACTTCTGTTCAATTTTTAATTTCCTAAATTTGTATAAAAACTATAATAATTATATACAATTACAATAATTATATATTGTAAGTGACAATATCTAATTTTGCTACAAAAAAAAAAAATGGTTTCGTCTATATGAATATAATACAAATTTTCTAAAGCCCATGATTATTTGCATACTTTCTATAGCCCCTGATTGAATAGATTAAAATGCTAAGATTGTTTGCTAACAGCTGTAATATTAACAAATGGTTTTACAACTTATATTTAGTTAGGAAACACATTTTCCGAAAACAGTTAGTACCCCCCGTACTAGACCCCTTATAATTACATACAATCAGGTGATTCTCTGCCAGTCAAAGATTTGCCCATGTGGGTAGGGCCCCCGTCTTCTAGCACCTCCCCTCTGACCCACAACCCCACCCCTCAAGTCGGAATCCACAATAACAATAACTATGCATGAGCTGTACGAAAGTCAAATAATAATGATTGGAACGAACCACAAAAACCGACTGCGCCACAAAATCAATAATTAAAATCGCTGCAAGGTGCTTCTCTTGATTACACGAAAAGATACAAAAATCATTTTTAACTTGAATCGAGCAAAGGTAAATGTTAAATCAAAAGCAAAAAGGCAGCAACAAAAGTCAGCAATTTAAGTAAGAAATAGAAAACGAAGACAGATAGGCAGAGGCAACAGCAGTAAAGCGATGAGTAGTAAGCAATAGAAAAAAAATAAGAGAATAACGATATAGCACCATAGTTAGAACAGCAACAAAAAAAAAACTCAAACCGCAAAAAAAAAAATAGCATCGTTAGATGCGCCTCAAGGTCAGGCAAGCATTTTAATCGTATCGAATTCACGGCGTTGAAAATGAGATAAAAAATATAAAGACTAATCAAAATAATAACTCGAAGCAATTAAAGTCGGTTAGGAACGAAAGAGGTAAGGCCCCGACATTGTGGTACCCTACAAAACCAACTTTACATTTTATTATTCTAATTAATATGCTTTGAACTACCATCATAGTAACACAATGTTTTATTCAAACTACTCGCAACGTCTTAATATTCACAAATAAATTAAACAACTTTTGCAACGTTTTCCCAACGGAATTTTATAGTTTTTTTTTATTTAAATAAATTGTCTCAACATTTTGAGAAATGCAGTTTAATGCGATGCATGAATAATGCAGTGTGACAATTAAAAATCAAATTATAATCTAACATATAAAAAATATTGTAAAGGATTTTTTAAAATCTGGTAGAATTAAGATGCAATTGCTTTAACTCGGATTAATTGGTTTAATTTAAACCTATATGCAGTTCTCTTCATTGCATGTTGAAGTGCCTTAAAGTGACTTTAATCTGACCTAGTAATAAAATGAAATGATAAGTGAATGACTGTCATGTAACAGAAATGTCTCTGGGCGGTGTAGACAGAGATTAAATGCCGAATTACTTGGGTATTTGAAAGAAGAACTTTAGCCGTTTTGTAATAAAGCGACCTTGGTATTACAATTATTGAAAATAAAAATCTAACTTGGCTTACGCCTATTAATAATAAATGGTTGTTTTAGGTCTTAGAAACACCTGTAGGCGATACAAATACAGCTTTTGACTTTAATACACTTAAACAAGAGGGATAATTGCATCGTTTTATGGCTCCGACATGTGTAAGCCAAAGGGCTTACAAACTTGTCGGTTGGTTTCGACCCAGGCTTTATGTTCACACTTCTTGCTCTAGAAGTTATAACTCCTTAATCTGTTGTGGTTCTGTTCTCGGTCGGTTTTTGTTTATCTGCCAACTTTGACAAACATCAAATATGGATGCCAGGCAAAGGGTGACAAAAAATGTGTGACAGCATCAGCATCCTCAAAACTATTTGGCTGGGCAAAACCCCAGGGGCGTTCTCGACTCTGTCAGAGTGCCAAGTGAAGATATTGCAAAATTTTTCGCACTCCGAGCGAAAGAAGCACAAACGCTATTGACACAAACTGGATAAGCTGACAAAGGTGCTAAAAAATGTGAGAAGATTGAACGCTTCACTGACTCACCTGCCTAACTGGCTGACTGGCTGACTGGGTGACTGACAGACAGTTTATCAAATGATGGACGGGTGTGTATCCCTCGACACTTCTCTCGATTTCCAGTCACTTGTGAAGCTAAGCTGCTAAGTAACTGAGACTGGAATTAACTGAAGCCATATTTAGTGACAATTAGTGAGACAACAGCAGCAGCCGAGCCAAACAATTTTGAATCTGAAAATGTGTAATGCGACACAGTTTGCGAAATGCGAAACTCGGCGAAAAGTTGACAACTTTAGCTAGGGGGAATGTGCCATGACACTTGGCACTCAGTAATGCAAATTTTATTGCGAACTCCCCTGAAATGATGGGATAAATGTCAAGCTAAAACAAACAGTTTGACCCATGCTAATATGGTTTTAAGGGACTCCTCTTAACCCTATTTTTTGGCGAAATATTAAATAACAATTTTTGAAATAATTGAGGGGTGGAAAAAAGCCATAATATTAGCATGACTGGTTTTTGGTAAAGCTAAAACCATAAAACCGTAGCCATAAAATTAGAGAAACATAAAATACGCTTGTGATTTAAGGTTTACTTGATTGATTGTAGGAACAAAAATCTTTGGCAATTTAAAAGCAGCATATGATGAACTTGCGCTAAATTTAAATGCATGCATCAATTCTGAACAGCACGAACATAAAATGTTTAAATTTTCTTGAAACAATTATATTTTAGGCTAAGATACCTATACACCGGTTTCAATACTTTTTCATAGCAACCTTAACCTTATTAAGCTTTTATCGAGTACCGACAAATTTTGTTTCTTTTTAAAATTGTTAAATAAATTTATTTTTAGGTGACATTTCATACACAATGGTAGATTTACGCGGTTGAGGTTAGGGACCGATTTTCGGATCGGCCACGACCTGATTTCATATTGGTGTCTCTCAACTTCGGTTTTGGATGGGTTCTAGGCAAAAAAATTCAGAAGTTAATATTGCAAGCAATTATTAAGCTACAGCTAAAATAACACGGTTTATCAACACCATTCTGTGAGGACGTGGTACGCACTATGATCAAAAATTCAGTACAGTTTTTAAACTACAAATCAGTTCTCTGCGGACATGATTATAGGATAGGATTATGTATTCTCGAGCAATATCTTTTAACTCTTAATGCAGCCTAGGCGTTGGTATTGATTAAACCTGGTTATCGATCTTTTTGCAGAATCACAGAGTACTTACGCCTGTCTTATAAGTTTTAGCGTGCTGCGTTTTAAAATAAAAACAATGAACACGATGGTACCCTGGGACCAATTAAAGTAGTCAGTCACTCGAAAAACCTTGGCCCAAACATCTTTGTCTTGCACCAAGTATGAGATTATCTCAAAGCTCCACGAGAGACCCATGATGATAAAGAGCCGCAGAAAGAAGGTGTAACTACAAGAGATATAGTAAGGAATCATATCAAAATATATATGCAATTTGAATTACGATTGTTTATCCGAGTTGAGCTTTTTGTTCTTGTCTTGCTTGTGAGTAAAGTTGTTTATGCTCCTTTTAACTGAAATTATAATTCTGGCCGTCAGGACAAACGTGGTTATGTTGAACGCAATTAGCAACAGTATCGGCCCGTATAAGTAGATCATGGCAGACCAATCTCGAGCTGTGGATAAAAAGGGAAACTATGTATGTATACCGAATAAATTTGGAAATCGGAACCCACTATAAATCCAACATTCGTTTTCGTTGCCCATTCGAGGGGCCCAATTTTCGTGATCTGCAACCTTATCAACCAGATAGGTAATTCCGGTCAGGAAAAATGACAAGCCCCAGGCGCATATGCTATAGGCCAAAAATTGATCATCTCCCAAGAAGCCACTGATGACTACAGAGCCCTTGAACGTCATCCAGAGGTGCAGGCTGATGACGGAAAGCCACAAGAACGCGGCCATAACGAAAAAATAGCCTATGAAGCCTGAGAAAAATATACAAAATTATGATGATATACGAAATTATAATATTATTTTGATAAGCAAGAGACATGGCCGCCCAATTAACGTCCTGGGGGTTATTGTCTAAAAAAAACTAACCTGCTGTTATGCAGAAATCGTTGGTCAAATCCCACAAATTTAGCAGAAAAAAGAGGTAGGCCATGAACAGGCTTACCATGTAACAGATGAAGCATTGGCCATGCAAGTTTCTTAGCTTCTTGAAGAAGAGGTACACGCTGATCGTAAGAAGCATACATATCAGCGATATCACCATTACTTAGGTATGAGAGAATTGGGAAAGTTAGGGATTCCTTAAGCTCTTTGACCGTTTTTGCTTACCAACGGTATGCCACGTTTTAGAAATATCCTGCGCCTGTGTCTGTGGGTGGCAGTTGTATGGTGCAATTTGGATGAATTCTGTATCAGTAGTTTCGTCGAACACTAAATGCTGAAGGCAGTATTTCTGTTTGTTCAGGGTGACTTTGCCATGGTGCCGTAGAAAGGTTCCATTCTAGGGTGGAGCGAAACCGATTAGACTGGGCACAATTTGGTAGCTTAATAAGAAAATTAACCTCGAACAGAGTATACTCATCGATTTTATCCCGGTTGTCTAGGTAGAACATTGAGTCACAAGGCCTGGGCAAGTCCCTTTGTACGAACATTTCGTTTTTGAAGTGCCTTTTGACCACCGAACCGTCTTTAAGGGTAATGTTCAGAAAGGGATCCATTGCGTCCAGCTCCTCCTTCGACGTGTCATTAAAACAGTTGCCTTCAGACATAATGTCATAGAGATCGCAGCAAAACCTAACACAGGTCTTCAATTGACAGACACATCCCCTCAAGTGGCTCGCAACATGCTCCTTCGAGTTGTTGGACTGAAGCTTGAAGTCATATTCGCCAGTCAAATGGGCGGGAATAACTAGGTCCTCGAATAGATATGAACCATTCGAGAGCCATTGGCCTGCTGAAACATCCACAGTGTCAAAGAAATCGCAATCTGGAATCTCTCCATTAGTTTTTTGTATGAACACACAAAGAACGGTGCCAAACAATCCCAGAAGTATCCGCATTTTTCCGCAGAGGATCTGAAAATAAAAAATGTATTGTAATTATCAAAAGGTTTGCCGATAGTCTAGTTTAGTTAAGTTTAAATAACTGTGGGGGTAAAGAACTGGGATCTTGAGCTCTATGAGTAGCACTAAAAGAATTTATTTTTTGTCACATTACTCACATAAAACACTGATAAGAAAACATAGTGTTAGACCTAAGCGAAGAAAAAAAATGTAATCCGCATCCAAAACCCCAATTCATTACTCATGGAATACCACAGTCAGACTTCTCTTATTTAAGGGGTTTAGCGTATTATTTAATTTAAACTCTGATTTCTTTTTATAAATTTGGTACAAGAAGTTTGCAACGCGGTGAAGAAGATATTTCCGACCCTGTTAAAATAGTATATTTATTCTCACTAGAGAGTCGATATAGCCATGTCCGTCCGTCCGTCCGACTTTATATTTATATACTAAAGCTCCCATTAAAGAAAAAAAAATCGAAAAAAAAAAATTAATTGAATATTTAATTTTTGCAATAGCTGGAAGGGTATATAAACTTTGGTTTGCCGGAGCTCGTTTCCATTCTTTTGTATTTGCAAAATTGCAAAACAATATTAATGCTTACCGATTCAAATGTTGTAGTAATAAAGGCTTTTCACGAAATTTTATAATGATTTTTCAGAATTCTTTCTTTCGGACTGTGTTTTAAGTCAACTCAAAACAAACAAAACCTTTTTAATAAAAGCTGAATCGTGCTATTCAACTCGAGACTTCAAACTGAGCTGGCAGAGAACATGCTCGACAGCGAATTTTTATTCTGCAAATATAATTTTAAATATTTTTGATAAGAAAGAAGTGAACATGTTTGATGTTAGATGACTAAATATACATTTTTTTAATAATTATTTAAAAATATTTTGCCAGCACTTGCTATCAGTCTTCCGAAAGAGCAACTTGTGACTCACTACTATCTAAGAAAATCGTAAAACAACCATAACTGAACGTTTATAGCAAAACCGCCCAGCTGGCTTTATGATTTATTAGCCAAGCAATTAGTATTCCGTTGTTGGCAGGCCGCAAACCAGAAAAAAATCTGTTCCACGTCCATCTCTAATGACAACTGACAACTCTAAGCGAGTGGCATTGAAACATTTAACGCGTTTATATTTAAAATGTATGACTACGCATATGGTGTCTGGCTAAGTACATAAATGTACGACTATGGCTAAATGTGTGTGCATATGTGGGTCTTGAATCGACGAGGCTTTGCTTCTGCTTTTGGCCAACAGTACACACACAGTGCATACATAATTAATTTATAAATTGTTAAGACAACGAACGATACAACACTCGGTCGTACATTTCTTTTGATGCTTTATCAACTGACTGGAATTTGGGCAGGGTGTGCGGGATGGTGGGTGGTGGGAGGGGTGGTTTTGGGGTGGGTCTGGGTGGCAGGCTGGCAGTCAGCGTAACGCTTCGTTTGGGTTTGCCTTGACAGCTGCCTATTGGGGCGGGATTCTGGGGTGGGGATCCGTTGGGCTGGGCTGTACAGTCAGCCTGTCTCAATTAAGCGCAAATTGAATTAAATACTTTCACATGCGAAAACAAAGCTGGCCAAACACGCACTCCAGAGGCAGGAGACTGAAGACGTGTTTTTTCTATTAAAAAGAAAAATGTGAATGGAGCAGAGGACTTGAAAGGCAACCGACCATGAATCTGTGCGAGATGAAACAATAGGCTGGGAAAGCCTGGCATACAATGATAACAAATTGAACGTGTGCTGGAAAAATACACAAGGCTTATGATCTATCACTTCCAACGGACTGCAAGGAATTCGTTTATCAAATTGACATTCCGTTGGTCGAACTAATATCGTTTATATTTAAGCCTTGTTTAAAATAATTCAATCACTTCACTTTGACCATTCAAAAAACGTAAAATGTATAGGAAAAAAATGTTCTTGTATCAATTCAATTTTTTTGTGTTTTAAAAAATATATACAAAATATTTGTATATATAATAATGATATTAATAATATATAGATATAATAATGAATTTAATAAAAATACATACTAGCTTAGCTTTATTTTAAGACTTTGAATTAAAAGTTTAAATAAAAATAGGACGGTTTTTTCCTATTTCCATAAGGCAAAAAACAAGTAAATTGTTCACCATAAATAATTTGTTATTAATATTACGAGTATACAAAATTCCTAAAGACTTTAAGACTTTCAGAGGCTTAACAGCTGAATTATAAAACTCTCGTTAGCAGCTTGAAAAGCTATTATTGTGTGCTCTTACTTAAATTGCCTTGCTTTTAACTAATTGATGTTTTCAAGAAAGTTATCTATTCTAAATTTGTAAAATACTTCTAGAAAATTGGCAGTTAGAAACTGGATTTAAGAGGCTTATAATCTCAGCTGAGACACTCGTTAGGAGCCTGGTCATACCTTTATTCCCCACTCGAGCTCAAATTGGTTTAATTATAGGGATACGTAAGACCCTCGGGTTCGCTCTGGGCCCACTGTGCTAAGCCCTCTGACTGCTGCCGTAAATCCGCAGAGCCGCCGAGACTATTACGTGGTTAAACGCACCATGTCCACATAGGTCTCAGATGGCAGATCTGCTCGGCCAGTTATTCGCCCAGGCACACACAATCAGTCGACTTACTCGTGGGAATGGCGGTTGGAGGGGAAGGGGCAATGGCTGGTGGCCAGATACATGGACATAGATACAAATTCAATCTTTTACTGCCTGTGTTTTTTTTTTTTTCAATGGCATCGCTTCACTTTTGTTCCTACAATTTTGCACTTGCTTTTCCCAGCACCATGATGTCCTTTTGCCGGGTTTGTTTCTCTTGTTTTCCTTTCCCTGGCTTTGCTTTGCTTTGGCTTTGTGTTTTTGGTGTGACACACGTTTTGCTACAATCTTCTGGCTCCCAGTTCCCACAAAGAAAAAATACACCATTTTCTTATGCTTTGGGAATAATTTGAAAAGTTGAACTGGTGTCCTCGAACTAGTCTTAGGAAATATTGAAAAAAAAAGAAAAAAAAGAGTCTCGTATAACAAAAACCAGTTAAATATCACGATGTTTCTCTGAAATCTAATTTAGTACATCGCAAAGCGTTCAAGAAATTTAACTTAGTTAGGAAATGTAGGAGTTTTGGTTCCTTAAACTAATATAGTCTACAGCTAAACAGTCAAAATCTCAAATCATGCAGAAAAACAATAAAATACCATTTATTTTATTAAAACATAAACGTAATTTCTTTTTTATGAAAAAAGCAAGTTCATCTAAAAAGTTTACTTCACATTATTTAGCTTTTCGAGTTTTAAATCTAAATCCTATTTTTATATCTATGTTATATAAACATTTTTCGAACAGTGCAAGAAACGCAAACACCGTTCCCCATCAGATTTTTTTGCGTTGATTTGTCTTGGATTTCTCCGTTCGTGTGTGTTGGTTCAGCCTTTAATTCATTAGACCACAATCGTATTAAGTCTGTAGTTGGGGCTCTGGGCCTGCAATTTCATTTCATTTCGGTTTGGGGCTCAGTCCAGTCCAGGTTTTTTCTCTCCTTTCGCTCGTGACTCTTTTTTCCCAGGGCATCGCTTACAATATCCACATACACTCTCTCAAACACACACACACACTCGGATTGCTGTGGGACATGACAGCTTTTGGCTGTCATGTTTAGTCCGCGCGTTGTGTTGTGATTTCCGTTTCCGCTGGCAATCCGGCAAATGCATGCGGTTGTCTCTTTCACGCTTTTTACGCACCGCACGTTACGTGTCGCCGCCAATAAAAAGTACAAGCAAAAAACAGACAGCCGGAAAAAAATAAACGGAATTACAAGTTATCCCCCACTCACAACACACATACTGTTCGCACGCACTGAAGCCATAGCGAAGCTATAAAAGTCAATAATGTCGTTAGCAAAAAATACAAAAATCAAATTGAAAATATAGTAAGGCAGCTGAGAGGAATGTGAAAATAAAATAAAAACTTCAGGCATCGCCTCGCTAATAAATTCGTCAGCGGAATAATTTGGGGGGAAAAACAAAAAAGAAGATTTAGGGATGCTGAACAGAGTTTCGACATCGGTGTACTTAGCAGGAATTTCACAATGCCAATTATTTTGTAAGTTGTGATTATACACAAATAAAAAAATTCATTGTTGCATATTTACTTCATTTTAGTATGTTATTTGGAATTGATCAGGTTTTTATTAACTGGCTTATAAATTTGTTTGATTATTTTTGGGAAATAAAACACTGCCTTAACCAGAGAATTAAATATTACTTTGTTCTTTTGTTTATAGATTTGAATTTTGTTTAATGAAGCTATAAATAACTTCTTGGCTCCATTACATTTAGTTGTTGAGAACCCGTCAGACATCTTATCTAACGATGTCGTGCATTAGCTCGTACTAGTATCATAACTTTAATTAATTACTTGAATATGCTGTTTGTATCCGAAAATGCAATTCCCTATATTTTTATTAAGTGTTGCATTTATATGGCTTCAAAATAATGATCTTAATAATTTAGTTTGTATGAGAAAAAATTATTAATAGGACTAGAAATCTTAAAAATAAACAAAAAGCACAAAAATTTGTTAATATTTTAGAAGCTATAATACTTTTAGTGCTTTAAATGAGCTTAAGAGAAGGTTGTAAGACTCAATACCCATTTGTTTGTCTTATACGGCTCCATTAATTGTTATCTTGTGCTTAGCAATTTATTTACAAGGTCTGAAATTGGTCCCGCGAGTATAATCGCAACTCCCAGCTACATTTGCCGACCAAAAGCTGTGCATACCCCATCGGATAAACTCTTGGTTATTGGGTATTAAAAATGTAGAGTCTCTAAGCGGATTTCAACATGCTTCATCCGCCCACGTTCTTTGAGATTGCTATTGGAACTGCTATTGCTATTGGGCCTTGCATGAGGCGCCGTGTGTGTGAGTATGTGTGAGTCGATTTCCGTGCGGGTGTGTGCGTGCGTATCTGTGTGAGAGAGGCGACGACTTTGTCGACGCCATAGCTGCCTGTTACAGGAAATCAAAGCTTATCAGCGACTACAAGGACGACTGTCGTTGCGCTGATTTCGTTTGCGACGAGTCCTCAGCCAACAGAACCCCCAATCCACAGTCAAACACCCCCGAAAAGCCCCTCTTTAGGCCTTGTAGAGCTATTTCAATGCTACTCGAACTGCCACCCAGATTTGGTGGATTCCCTCCCATTAAATTACATGACGATGGCATTTCGAGCATTTGCCTTTCTTTTTTTTTGGAGGAGATGCACACACACTCACTTGTGTGGTAATCGCAATGTGTGTGGAAATTGATGTCACCAGGTTAATAAGATCTATATTTATGGCGCATTTATATATGTGTTTTCCTCTTCGTCTCTTCCGACCTCCTGACGCCGTCTCTTTCGCTGCGTGTGTACCAAGCAGATAAAAGATTATAGAGCTCCGCTCGTAGAGGCTTGAATGTATAATATAATGCCGCACATGAGGTAAGTGGGCGGTTAATTAAGGAATGTTTTTAAATACGTGAGCTGGAATTCTTTTGAAATGTATATTCGGGTGTATTTCGGTTCGCATGATGATCTGTTGAGGGTGTCGCTTTCCTTAAAGCAGTGGGTGGGACATATTTTGTGGCTTATGGCATGCGTTAAATGGATTAAAGGGAATTACACGAATTATTTCAAAAATGCACATGGT